GCACGGGCATTTCACTCGTTGGATGCCTCAGCATCACATTTGCATAGGCCGTTCTACTTGAATTCGTGATTGGTTGATGGCAAATTTCAAATATTAAAATGGAACGATATAATAACGTTATTAACCAGATAATGGCCATTTCAAATTTTCAATTCTGCATGGAATTATAACATTTAGTTTGTTTCCGGTTTTCGTTCCTTGAACCGGTTCAGAGCCCTGCTAAATATTACTTATAGCACACCTACCATCCAATAATTGCAATAAGCATTGATGCTCTAAAGTACTGTAATATAAAAAAAATATATATATAAGATTATAAAATAAAATATATAGCTATATCTGCCTAGTGGCAGCATGAAGCGCGAGTGAATCATTCAGTTTCTCCAATTTACTACTAGTTAAAGTGAGAAACATGAAAACAAGTTATGACCGCAAATTACTGTAAGTTTAAATGTTTCAATCAATTCATACATTATTAAGTTGATATAAAAACTGCCTTATGTGAAATTTAAGTTTATATTCACACAATTTGTTAACCAATTAAACTTAATTTTCTATACATCATTAATAGTAAAAGGTACATCCCAGTTTTATTACAAACCTGCTGCGGCATCTGGCCAGGCATTTGTCCTGGCATCATCTGACCTGGAGGCATAGCCCCTGGAGGCATCTGCCCAGGTGCCATGCCAGGTGGAGGCATCATACCAGGCGGAGGCATGTAGGGAGGCTGACCGGGCATTGGCATCATGCGAGGCGCTTGGCTCATGGGTGGCATTCCCTGTAAATGACCAAACAACAATAAATCGATAACAGCCTGAAAATAGACCACAATGGAGTCAACAGCACACATACTCCCATATATAGATTCCAAATATACGAACCGGCATAGCTGCAGGTACTCCGGCCATAGCAGCAGAAGCCTTTTTCCCAGCACCTGCTTCAGGGGCTTTAGGCTTTCTCTTCTCTTTCTTACGGTCTCGCTCCACATATGTGCCCTTCATTTTTGCAATGATATCAGAGTCCTGCTTTGTATACTGAATACGCTGTGAATAGATTTTAAGAGCATTTTAGTTCGGATCACAGCATCTTGGATTTAAAACATCAATTTACAAGTGTGTGTGTACTAATATATATATAGATGGAGAGAGGGAGAGAGAGAGAGAGAGAGGGAGAGAGGGAGGGAGGGAGGGAGAGAAAGAGCGAGAGACAGACACACGTGTATATCTATCCATACACACACATACATCTTACCATAGGTTTATCATAAAATGGGAAGCCTTGCATAGAGCGGAGTGCACTGGAAGCACTGTTGATCTCCTTGAAGATCACAAAGGCCTGACCCCTCATTTTCAGTGTAGGAGAAACAAGGATGTCCAGAATTTGCCCGAACTGGGAGAATATAGCATACAACGACTTCTTCAGTTCTATCAACAGAAGGGGAAAGGTTCGCAACATTATTAACCATTTACAAAATCGTTTTATTAAAAAAAACAAATAGACAGACAGAACCATACCATCTTTTTTGATCTTTTCATTTAAGTTGTTGATGTAAATCGTGTGATTTAACCGCATCTCCTGGCTCGCCATGATTCTGGGATGAAAAACACGTAACGTTACATGAAACCCTCTGCAGGACGAAAGGCCTAGCTCAACTCACTGGATCGCGCAGAACGAAACCAAGCTTAGGCATTTTCTAAACTTCCCCAACTCTTCTTAATCACATGTTAGAAACAATAATATTCCGTTTTGGAAAAAAAAAATCATCAAGAAGAATGAAATGCATTATTTTTTTTACATTAAATTGCGCTATAAACCCGTGAATGACTGAACTACCTCGTTGTTGTAAACGGAAGCTAACGTTAGCGCCTTAGCTTGTCAATGAATTTAATCGCGAATTATTACAATTTCACTAATCAAGAAAACCCCATATTTTGACAAAATAAGATGATGAACGGCATTAATAAAAAAAGAAGACAATGCGACACACTCACAATTATTAAACGAGCTTCTGCCAACCACACACTTGAATAAGAAGCAAACCACAGAACACAAAAAGAACGCACGGTGCGACTTCCGCCTGAAAACCCGCCTATATATAAGAATTCTATTGGACAGCTGGTCTCCCGGAGAGCCTGCCGATTGGTTGTCTGTCGAGCACACCCGCCTACCAAAGCTCTTTCTCATTGGCTATTTTGGAGACGAGCCAGAGGCCAGAGCGGGCTGTTCTATGAACTGATTGGTCCGTTGGTCGTGTCACGTCGGTGAATAGGAAATCTATAAATTGCAGCTTCTAATTTTGAACAAACGATATCATGCCTCCTGATTGGTTTAATACAAATATATCGTCAACGCCACATTTATAAAATATAATTTTCTTTGGTATTTTGATTGTGTTTTTCCTCTCACGACCATATGACCTTATTTGGCATTCCCTAAATAGAGAACACTACCCAGACTTCAGATGCACTTCACAGCCAACTACTAGTAGATAGTGAAATAACTTAACTTCTTGGACGCTGATTCATTTAACTTTGCGAATGCTTATATAATAGTACGTGCATTCATTGCAGCATTGTTTAGGTGTGGTTATATTGGACACTACACTGTATCCTTCACCATGCCATGTAAATCACAATACTCTTACATCTTGTCTATTGTTTTCATTTACTTCTCTCATTTACTTTCTGCTTAGTGTGAAAGTGTGTTGGAGCAGCATGTCTGTGGAGGATGTGGCAGCACCTCCTCCACCTCCATCACTGGTTCGCTCAGTGCCCAGCAAGAGGCTTTAGCAGAGGGAAGGGCCCCTGCAGAAGGGGACCATGAAGAGGCCAGAATTATTCTAGGACAGAGAGAAAGCAGGTGAGGTCAAACCGCAATTTTGTACGCCGAAGACTTTTGTGTACAGCCTTGATCAGTCTTTATCATTTCTCCATGAAGTTTTAGGAAGGATCTGCAGTGGTTGCTGTTCAATAAGTATGTGCCTTCACTTATTCAAGATGGTCCACAGTAAGTTTCCATACAAATATGTAATTGTTGATGTTGATATTTTAGAGGTTTGATATGTGATTGTTGATATTTAGAGAGCAGGGTGGCTGATATATACAGTTTACATACGCCGTAATATGCACATCTTAATTGTTTTTCTGAAATAGGAGGGACATACTGTAACATTTATTTTAATTTATTAATTTGTATAGTTGTGCTATCAAAATAAGAGGGATAAAATGAATTTGGATCCCTCTTGTGGTAAAACAATTAACATTTTGTAGATTGCAAAGGTGTATGCAAACGTTTGACCACAACTGTGTAATGCATGTGTGTATACATGATATCACACTATTTAATTTCGATATTTAATTTAATTTAAAGATAGCAAAAACACGTGCTGCAATAAAATGTATAATTCTGTATTATGATATTACATAATGTTTACTAAATTAGAAATAAATCATTTTAAAATGAGTCAGAAAGGGGAAAAATCATTTAAACTTAATAAAAATAATAAACCTGTAAATTAAAGAGAATAATACTTAGCAACTTATTATGTAATCCTATCATAGTTTTTTACAAAAACAAAGAAAATGTTAAAAAAATATGTATTAGAAAAAAAGAGGTAAACATTGTAACCAACAGTATGCTCAAAAATATGGTACGTCTGTACACACTAGGAATCTTTCTTTTTTTTTGTACAAATAAAGACCTGGGTTATTATAGTTCACTAAGACAAAAACCAAAAAAAAAAAACTAACTGAAAAAAATTTCAGCTTGTCATTAAGGAAACCGTTTTCATTTTAATTTAGTTTA